GAGGGAAAAGTGTGAGCGATTGTTTCAGATAGAGGCGCCAACAAAGCTCTGGAGATGATTCACGCCTCTGAATCATCAGGGAGGAGGGGGGTCGCTCTGGTTTTGTAGATACGAGGGGAGAAAGTATTTAGTTGCAAGCTCTAATCAGTCAGCGTCTGCCTCAAGTTTATGACTCAACAGAAACTTCTTTCCTTTTGAGGTCTGAAAAGCATCAATCATCAGTTTCTTGTTACTGAAATAGGCTTTGAACTCATAAAAAGCGAGTCTGTTTTTTTTTTTTTAGCTTCTTGTTTGTGCAACAGAATAAAATTATTGCCACAAAACCTCTTGGACCAGTTTCAATAGCAACAGTGCTCAGTCTGCAGCTCAGTTCGAGCCAGTCCCTGATGTTCACCCAGAAACCTGCAGAATGTTTCCCCAACTTAAATCTAAGACTTCCATAATCCACCTCGCCTCGTTTGATTTGGCAACTGAAGCATGTCAGCGGCAAAAACCAACATCATTCAGCCAACTGATGATAAATTTACACTTACCCAGGACGGATGCAAAAAAGCTAGCTAGCTTACAAGGATTTATTAGCAGCAAGTTACCAGTAGTGTCAACCGTCTCGAGTCAGCGAACATAATGAATATGTCTGACTAAAGCATTTCCTTGACAGAAAAGTCGTAGACATAGCCTACAAGAATATATGAAACTAAGTGGTCCTGCCTTGACAAAAAGCCATTTTTAATCTTTGCTGACCTGTAGCCATCAATGAAGCTGGCGTTGATGTAGTCGGAGCCCTCAACACCGCGGATGGGCTGCAGGCAGACACGGGTGGACTCAAAAGGCATGATGTTGACCAGCCGGTTCTTGAACTTGTTGCAGGGCAAGTTGGCGCTGATGAAGCGTGATGTGTGGGCTTTGGAGTTGGCCAATCTCTGTTTGATAAAACAAAGGAGAGAGGGAAAATGTCAGACAGGGAAGCAAAAGAATGACACAAAGAAGACAAGAACATTTGAAACAACATTTACTGACATGTGAAAAGCAAACTAAACATCCCACTTAAATCCACTCTAATCAAAAACTAGTTTGACTACCTAAAAAGTCTGGTTCTTCTGGGTAGATGTGAATGTGTAATCGAACTCTGATGCATACCAGAAAAGCGAACTCTGGTCCACCTACACACATAGGTCTTTGTCCGATTGAAGTGAATTCTGGTCCGGTTCAAATGCATATGTGAATGCCAAGTAGACAGGAGAACACTCCACAAGCAGGAAGTGGTCTACAAGCGCAGGGCATTATGGGCAAGCACACCCGAAGCAAATTCAAGAGTCTAAGGCTAGTGCAAGAAATAGCTCTTTTTTTTAATTTTTTTTTTACAAAAGACAAAAAATAAATTCTACAACCACTAAAATCTGACACCACCCCATTTTTGACTACATTCTGTAAAGAAGGAAGTTGTGTTCATGTCTTCTTCTGGGGTTTTCACATTGTTTCCTTCAGTGGTTCTTGATGCAGCGCCACCACAGGTGAGAGGGTGAACTGGACTGTCAGGTGTGAAAACGCCCAGTGTGTGCTGTGGATATCGACAGGAAGTGTGGCTGACTTCTCTTCCCATTAAGTCCCAGTTTGCTTGCCGGACTGTAGGCGTCATAAGCACGCTTCTGGCAGTGGACAGAGAGCAGATGGACGGCACAGGAGAGTGTATGGACTGTCATGCTACTGCAGGAGACGGAGTGTGTTGTGGCCAGACTGTGGGGGGGGGGATGCAGGCCATAGCCCCACACGTACGCCACAATCATCCTCTCACTCTTTCATTTTCGCTTGTTGGCAGGAGTGTAGATGCTATTATCACTTCAAACAGAATGGATCATGGTCGTAAGCGGGCTAATGGCAGGGACGCACTGCGAGGAAAGTGTGTAATAACATCACAGTCGATGGCTATTGACAAAAAGGGTATGTGTGCCGTGTTACGGCGACCTTGAGGACCAGCAGGGGTGTATATGCGCGAGTGTCAGTCATTTTGTAATCGTCACCGGGTCGATGTGCTCACAAGTGTTTTGTTCTGGCTTATTTAATCCTAAAAGATGTGCTGAAGATGCTCCTGAAGCCTCAGCCCCAATGTCACGGAGATTCCTGAGCATCGGCTCATTTGGTGGATTGTGGAGACTTGCAAAAGTATTCACATCCTTATGAATCACAGATCTTATTTTATTATGAGATGTTTTACAAATTAAACTCTGCTTACTCCTGATACCCCTAAATAAAATCCAGACAGATGAATGCAGCCTTTAACAGGTTTTCTTCTGAGATTGAGTTGAATTTAACTACATTTCATCAGCTTTTACCATCTTTCCTGTCTCTACTGAAGGAAAGCAACTCCACAGCATGATACGGCCTCTGTTACATTTACAACTGTTACAGTTCACTTTCATACTGCACTGCGTCAAATGAACCAAACCCTTTGGAAAACCTATTAACTCCCTCGCCTGTGGTGGCGCTGCACCAAGAACAACACAAAAGCCTCAGAAGAAGAAATGTGCATGACTTCCCTTTTTGTGAAATGTAAACAAAAGTGAGACTTTACCAGTTGTAGCATTTCTCTTTTGTCTTTGGCAAAGTACCACAAGCCATTTCTCCCACCAGCACCAGACTTGAGCTTTTGTGTTGACTGTACTTACCCAGAATGCCCTGAGCAATAGTCCACTTCCTGCTTTTGGAGCAGTCTCCTGTCTGCTTGGCGTTCACATATGCATTAGAACTGCTTCAGAGTTCAACCAAATTGAGACCTAGGTCTTCAGTTGGACAGAGTTTGCGTTTTCAATCTGCGTCACATCTCCCCAAACGAACCGGACTTTCTAGGCAAATGAACTGAAGTTTGGTTAAAACAGACTAAACAGGGCTGGTGTCAGTGCACCCTAAATGATGCACAGGTCTGTAATCCAATCACCATTCGGGCGATTTATTAAGGCGCAGGGTTTTATTTAGGATTAAAATTGTACCCTTTTCCTCCCACTTCACAATTACGCACTACTTTGTGTTTGACTTGTACACAGAACCTCATTAAAATAGACCAAACTTCTCAAATTTTATCCCATTACAGCACCTTCAAATGGGAATGAGTACTTTTACCAGACACGTTAAATGCAGCAGCAGGAGAAAATGTGTGCACGGATATTTTTAAACACCTTGAACTCCAGCTCCATGGCGGTGACCGTCTCCCCGGGCGGCGGCTGGGTGAGCTTCTGGATGTGGGCGTACAGGTTGCGCGCCGGCACCTCCGTGTTGCCGCAGGTGGCAGCCTCCAGGAGGGATTCGTGGATGAAGATGTACTGGTCCTCGGTCTGGACCATGTAGTTCCTCTGGGCGCGCATGCACGTCACATGGCCGTAGATGTCCACGGTCTTCTCGTGCTTCATGCGCTCCAACATGGCGTCGATCACGATGAAGCAGCCGGTCCTGCCAACGCCCGCACTGTCGGAGGGAGGCAAAGGGTGGCAATTAATGCCATTTTCACTGAAGCTACATAATCATTACAATGTGGCAGAAATAGCTGTTCAACTCAATGAATAGAAAAGCACCAGATACACTTATAATCCTGATGTGGGGATGAATTTCCCAAGTATAATAGTTTTTTTTTAATGCTTTGGGACTGGATATTGAAGACAGACTGAAAGGTTACGGTTTGTAAATGTAACATTTCCAACCTGGCCTCTCCTCCCCTTCCCTGTTGAGTAATGCTTTTGTCGATGTCTATTGGAAGTGGGATGTCTGCGCTTGAAATTAGGTCATTTTTCACCTCTTTTTTTGGAAACCTCACCCAAGTTAACGACAACAACAACAACGCTTCATCTTCTCTGTGTTCTTTTGCTCCTCTTAGTCTGGAAAATCAGATATCTGGCAAAGCCAATAATGCCAAATGGCAGCACATTTTGCCAGCGTGCATCATCTCAGAGGATCTAAATGGAGCAAATGCAAAAATATGCAAACCTTCTGGATTGTGGTGCACAGTTCTGTTCCCGTTTCCATTCACAAACAAATATAAATGGACCTTTACATCAAGCTGGCTGCAACATGCATGCAGCAAAACAAAGCTGAGGCCAGTTAAAGGACAAACACTGAAGATGAGACTTCAGTTTTGTTCTTTCCAATGTGTGTGTTTTTTAATCAGAACATATTTAATAGTTTCAGGATTTTAGTGCTTCATTTCATAACTTTAAATGTGAAAAAAATAAATAAATAACGACACAATTATATTTACAACCACAAACTGGATTTTATTTAGGACGAGCAGTGTAGAGGGGAATGAATACAACTTAATGATGCACTTTTCAGATGGTGATGGCAGCATCATGCTGTGTAAATGTTTTTTTCTTTTATTTTTCAAGCCTGCAAATCACTCTCAAAAGCCATGCATCCTTTTACGCACTGCTTAAAGTTGGTATGTTACGTGAAAATATTCCTGTAAATGACATTAAAGTTTGTGGTTGTAATGTGTCAACCTGTGAAAAAGCTTAAGGGATGTGAAAACTTTAGCAAGGCACTGCAGCAAGACGTAAACTCATTAAACTAGCACTATTGATTTAAAAAAAAAATCACTACTTTTTATCACAATGCAGAACACTTTGTTATTCTAGCAGCTGCTTATGGTACATTTTATTTTGGTAATGTATGTTTTACCAAAAAAAAAAAAAAACAAAAAAAAAAATTACCATTGCTCCTTTATTTATGACTTTAATCTTTAAAATATTATGCCGAGACTTGAATATATGTGCAATGCCTTGCAGACGTATTTCTACCCTTTGAGGTTTTTCATATTTCGTCGTGTTAGAACCAACAACTGGATTTCATTTGGCGACATCACAGTAAACGGGGCTGAACACAAATGGACGCCACACTTCTTTCCAGTACTGAAACCAGTCGGCAGCGGCTTCACCCACCTGCAGTGGACCACCATGGGCCCGGCGTCTGGAGGATTGCAGGCCTTTACTCGCCGTAGGAAGGCCAGGATGGGTGTGGGATACTCGGGCACGCCGTGGTCAGGCCAGGCCATGAACTGGAACTGCCTCACCTCTCTCTTCTCGCTGGAGCCGTTCTGTAGGAGAACCGAGGTGACCGGGATTAGACACGGTGGATATTCATTGGCTGCTTTTCGAGTTTTCATGCTGGGAAGCATTTCTTTTAGCATGAAAAAAAGTCACGCTGCTTCCTTGAAAGGAGCTGTACAGTTGAGATTTGAAAAGCACAAGTTGGTCCAATTTTATGTCTTTTCTCTCACACCCTATGAAATTACCCAGCACGGTTGCATGCTATTACCTTTGTCTCTGTAGGTTGATTTATTTCTTTCTTCCTGTATGTTTCTGCAGCTATTCTGGGCTCAGACCTCTCATGTACAATTACTGTCCCAGCCAACCTCTTGTCTTGTTTATGTTTTGTTGAAAGGGTTTCAACAAATTATGTTCTGGACTGACTTGAATGGAGAGTTCCCACACTACAGTAAAATTCAACCACTTTTCAAGAATTTTCAAGGTAAGTTTTCAAACCTTTCCCGCACCACACGTTGGAGATAAAGACAACACAGATGACCTAAAGAAGACAGTTTCAATTCTCTATTATATACCATTTATTACTACAAGTAATAATATTTTGTGATGGTATCCTACATTCAGCAGCAGAGACAAACTAAAGTTCAACAACATTTTACGTTTAGAAATATTGGTCTGAGAAAGTTACAAAAAAATATCTAAAAAGTGTTTTTGCTACGTTTTCTGGAATTTAGCAAATGCAAGTCATTTTGATAATTCTCACTGAACTAAAACAAGATAAATTTGATCTGATTTGACTTCAGACAGTGAGAAAATAGTATCTTTAAATATCTGGTTTCAACTACAAAATGCTTTCCAAATTTAGGCTGCACTTTGTTAACAAACTGTCCAGTTTGAAAATCACACACTCTCAAGACTTCATGCAGAAATCAATCACTGATTTAAAGCCAATAAAAAGCTCCACATAGCCTATAGAAATAATGTAGTTTCCCATATAACTGGAGACAAATTCAATATTTTACTGCTCAAAATGAATAACACAGTTTATAGAAAACACTAAATGCCCCAGCCTTCAAAATGTGAGGCAAGAAACATGCAGATTATGCAGGTTTTTACCTTGTAGAGGGCAAAGGTTCGGACGCTGTAAGTTGCCAGCTCCACAGTGTCCAGCATCGTGACCTGGATCATCCCGTACGTCTCTGTTCCTCGTGACGGCCAGTACTGGTCACACTTCACCTGGCAGGAGCAAGAGAGAGAGAGAGAAAGGGCTGCTAACATCCGATACAAGGCGAGACAGAGGCTGTGTGGGATCACGCTGATTAACAAGGAGGAAACATTAAAGAGGTCACATCAAAGGCCCTGTCCACTGTCTAATTAAAAGCTGAAAACTCCGAGTCTGCTCCTGTATCACAGAAACAACGTATACCAGTGAATCAAGTTTTTACAGGGGCACTCATGTGTGTCTCCATTTGAAACGAGGTTTCAGACGGGTACTAGAAAGGCCCACTTTGTCTCTAACCGGCCTCTGATCATTTTTAATCAGCCAATTGTCCGGTGGTTTGCAGCCCTTTGTCATCCGTGCTTTAGGGTGCATTTCTGATGGCTGGACTGAATGAAGTCTAAATGCCTGGTTCTGCCTGTAATGAAGGGGCAGCACCTGGATTTGTAGTACATCCCTGATCGACCACAATCCTCAAGGCATTTATTCTGATTTTATGTCAAAATATTACATAATTTTTTAAGTGAAAGGAAATTCAGTGGTACATACATTTATGTACCTAAAATTAAACCCTTAAAACATAATTTTATTTCAAAGATTAAATTATCCTGCCAGGACAAAATTTAATACCTGTGATTAACATATTAAAGGCCAACTTTTGTGTATTTTATGCTTTTTTTCCTTTTCTGCCAGACAAAAGTTTGAGTTGCACGCAAGCATCTTTGCACAATGTGGTCGAGGCTAACTAGCTGCTAATGCTAGCTAGCTGGCTAGCTTTTTTGTGTCCACCAAGAGTACTGTATGTGCAAATTTATCGCTGGCTGGCTGGAAGACTTTTGAACATTTCTGAGGAGATATTGGTCTTAAAATGTCTTCAATTTGAGTTGGTGAAACCTGCAGAAGCCCTCTGATACCCCTAAATTAAATCAAGTGAAACCAGTTGTCTTCAGAGATCACCTATTTAACAGAGTTTGTGTGTAATTTACGGCCCATCCAAACCAGAGTAGAGGACTGTCGTTTTCAAAACCACCAGCGTCCAACATGGGACCATTTCCAGAAATAATTTCATCCACATGGAAACACTGAAATTGATCCAAAATGCTGTTTTTACTCCCCCTAACCTGTTAAGTGGTGCCAAACATGGAGTATGGGACATGGACACAAAGCCTCCACATGACGTCAGCGGTAAACACAACAAGAAAACAAGGATAGTGAACAACTAACCGCGAGTGGAGTCCTTTGTAGAACTTTTTAATGAGGTTCTATACTCTCTTCTGACTGCAACCACAACCTGTATGTTATTTAGGAGCATCGGGGCAGAGAGGATTCAAATGCACTCTGTACTTTTTGGATCTATAGTTGTGGCTCAGGAATAGAGCAGGAGCACCAAATATGGAGGCTGTAAGTAAGTCTGCTGGGACCATTAGCTGCTCTTTCTGCCCCCTCTCCAGTCGGGTAACTGTAAATAAAGGCCACCGTTTCCACTGCCCAATTATCCGACACTTTCTGTTGGTCTACCACATAAAATCCCATTAAAGTTCAAAGGGTGTGAATACTTTTTAAGGGCAACACACGAGCAGAAGTGGACCTTTGATTTGTCTCCCTGCTTTAGCAAGGAGACGGCAGGATTAGAGCAAAGATTGAAGGCTGCTGTGATCTTCACCTTGACATGAACACGACCTCCTCCTCCTCAGATTAATGAACCGCATTACCGCATGTTAGAGGAATGTTGCAACGGTTTCCAAAAGGCAATGACAAGGCATCTTATGGCTCAAAGCAGTGCATGGATCTGCACAATCAATTTCCAGTTAGGTTTTACGGCCACCCAGCAGCAATCCACCAATCCAGTTCACCAAAGAGATGAGCCGCATCATTATCTCAGCATCTGAAGTTGTTTGATTGGCGTCGCCTCTCAGGACGTTTTCAATACAAAACCATTCCTTGTTTATCCTGACAGACGTGTTTTTACAACGAAGAACAACTAAATCCTACCAAGTGTTTGCTAGTTTCTACTGCAAATAAGACAAAAACTAACTTACAAGAAACACAAGAAATTCCTTAATATTTGAGAATAAGTACCAGTTTTACTGGCAGATTATTTCACTCATAGCATGGAATAAATGTCTTGTCAAAGGTGAAATAATCTGCCAAATGGAACCAGCACTTTTTCATCAATTTTAAGGGATTACTGACTTAAAACTAGCTCATAGCTGAAAAGTTTCTTATAATCTACCGTGTTTCCCCGATAGTAAGACACCCCCGATTGTAAGACGTATCGGGGGTTTCAGGGGGTTCGGCTAATATAAGCCGTACCCCGAAAGTAAGACATATGTCTTACTTTTCGGGGAAACACCTCTCATCTAGCTGCGCGCCGCCTCCTGCCCACGCCTGCGCCGTCCCCCCCTCCATACGTCGTCGCGTCTGCCACCTCCCTCTGATCTTAATGAGCGCCGCCTCCTGCCCACTTCCGTGCCGCCCCCCCTCCATACGTATAAAACTGTTTTGTGGTGAATACAATACCGTTCAGGTTGTTAATAAATGTTAATTTTATGGTTAAAACAAAAAATTCGACAATTTTTTTCCAATATAAGACGGAAACACGGTAGCTTTGTCTTATCCTGGTGTACTAAGATGTTTCCACGAGTTTTCGTGTTTTTGCAGCACAAGCAGCAGTCACAATTCCCAGCGTTAAATTTGCTCTTGACGAGTAAGCTACGAAAACAGGAAACACTTGTAAATGTGTTAGAATAAGGAGTCATTATAAACAGCTGCAGGAACAAAAAAACAAAACAAAAAAACAAACATAAATAAATCAGAAAGCTTTTAATGCCACAACTGCAGGGACTAGAACGAAGAAGGCATTGATTGGGACGCGGTGCGAGGAAAGGGATGTGCCGCGGGGTGAACTAATCGTATCGACGCTACAGAGCTGAGCTGACATTTGGAGGCACTTTGGCTGCCTCGGCGAGCTGCTACAAATTGACAAACAAAATGCGCTAAAATTCTTCTGCTCACATTTCACCTCCCCTGGAGACGGCTCCCATTCATAGGCGGAGGCGGCGCTCGCAGAAGAGAAACTCAATTGAGTGATGGGGAACTGCTTGCACCGCAAACATATGGATTGGCAGTCACCTCTGTAATGAATATCTCTGTGCTGTCTGAGGTTCGGTGGCATGTACTCGCTCATACTGACACACACAGGCTACGCCGCCGTCTACCTCCGCTTTGAACTCTTCTTCTCGGCCTTTTGGAGAAGCCGCAGACCTTTGATCTACACACACTCGCACACGCGCAGTGGCTTGTACCTCTGGTCTGATTTCAACCCCTGACCTTTTTAAAGTTTTACTCTCTTGTAATGACGGTGCAAGAGGAAGCTAAAATCTGTCTGCTGTCAGATCGCATCGTATTTGTTCAGCTCCAGCAGTATTTGGCATAAAGCATTAAGTCTTGCTGGTCGCTGGAGGGTTGACTCATTCGCTCACAGTATGCGTCCGAGGGCATTTTTGCACAGAGAAGTGAGCAAACTATGAGTAATTTATGGAAAGGAAGTTGAAAAATAAACATCTCCTCTTGGTAGCTGTGCAAAGAACCGTTTGTTAACATTGTGAAGTCAAATAATGGATAAAACTGAACTTTTTATGTTTATTTCCACCCTTAATATATATATATTTACTTCAGTTGAAGAACTTCACTCTGAAAAATGTAGAAAATCCAACCTTTCTTTAATTTTAATCTGGTGATCAAGAGATCTTTAATTAGTAATCTATGGTATTCTTTTTTTTATGGGGCATGGAGCAGACTGCAAAGACTAGCAGCTCGTCTAAACTGGCACATATCTACATTCAGAGTAATGCCACTTCCTGCAGCCACTGTTCAAAATGGGAACGACAAGAGAATGTCTGTAAATTACTACAAAAATAGCTACTCATCTGAAACAGATCATATTTACCGTGAAGTAGATTCACTAAAAAGACCAAAACAAGATCTATATCAGGAGTGCCAATCATTGTGGAAGGCACCAGAAGTGACATAAGCTACAACAAAAATTTAAAGAACTAAGAATGCAGCTGCCTGTCTCGTTATGAAATTATAAGACGTTTAATTTTATTAGCTACTTTGCGAACACTGTTTATTTGCAATGTGATTTGTTAAGATGGTTCCACTTATTAAGTAATGTTTTCTGTGCCGATGCAATTTAATCAGCCTAATCGGCTGTTGGCACAGTGTTGGCGGTCTCACTCTGGAAAGTCTTTAAGTCGCGCAACAAACATTTAATTGTTAATTCACTAAACATTTTCTCTTCATTAGAGTGACGGCTTTAATTGTGATTCATAGGCACAGCTGTTTACAGAGTAACATGATCTAAATAATGCATTAAAAAGCTGAACAGTATGGCTTTTTGCAACATCTGTTTGAAACTGGGATTAGCCACAGACGTGTATTTTGGAAACGAATCTGATTTTCGAAATGTGAGACTTTTAGTTTTTGTTTGACGCAGAACATTTATTTCTGTCCTTATTTTGTGACTGAAACATTTGATATTTTTGTCTTTCTCATAGCACAGATACTTTTTTTTAAATTATTTATCGTCTAATATTTAGATATTTCATTTTTTTCAACAAATAGTATAAATATAGGAATTCAAGTGTATTCAATAAATATGTTTGCAACTATTTAAATATGTAATTTTAATGAATCCTCAAATAAATGTGAAGCTATGTTACATTTTGAGTATTTTTTTTTAAATAAAACGCTGTAGTTAGATAATTACCAATCTTTTTAACGTATGCTTAAGCCACATTTTAATAAATTATTCTTGTATTTCATTTTTTATATTCTAATGTTAACTTATTTATTGTATTCATTTTTATTCTTGTGAAATTTTAACATCTAGAAATATTTTAAGTTATTTATGTGTTTAATTGTGGCATATTTTGACTTTAATAAATTCAATAAAATAAATGCAAACAAACAATGAATTGAAATTCTATT